TATTTGATTGTGTTTATCTGCAGTTAGTTACACGAATTCAGATATGGGATGAAATCGGATAGGGATGAAATCGTTTAGGGATGAACGGGTTTAAGAGTTTTAAGAGTTTTAAGAGTTTTTAAGAGTTTTAAGAGTTTTAGCCAAATGCTTTATAAGATAGTATAGATATGTCATGCATAAAAATAGTTTTTACTAGTTTTTGTCAAATGTTTTATAATATAGTATAGATATGCTCGTTACATTTATATCTTTGGGATGCGTGTGATTTACCGTACTAAAAGTTTCATCATTATTATCGAAATCCAGTCACATTTATTTTACTTCCGATTATAAGGTATGATACAATTGATCAGATTGTTTTATTTGTTGTGATTTTAGCTGCAAATATTAACACCTAACCAAATGTATGGGGTTTTAACACACAACAGGGAAATAAATTCTGATTATATTATTTTTTTAGCTAGAATCCAATGACATTCAAAACAAATCTAAACAGATCACAAGGTGTTTAGAGATTTTATCATTTCAGATTTTGTCGTGGGTTGTGACGAAGCACCTTAGAAATCAAGGTATATTTTCTCTACGTGAATCCACTCACGAACAAGCTGTGATCTTCCACCGGCTGCTAACCCAAACCCCTAGATCTAAAATGTGGTTTTTAATGGAAAGAAAAAGGTTTGTTTTTTATTTTTCTCTGATAGCTAGGGGTGTTTTCGGTTTGGTTTAGCGGTTTAATCCCCCCAACCCACAAACCAAACTGCAACGGTGGTTTCGAAAATTTCTAAGCCGAACCATACTGGCCAAACCGAACCACAAAAAGACAGTCTGGTCTAACCTCTTATGGGCTTTAAATAGAAAAAAAAATATGGCAGTTATATCCAAAATGAAATTTCTACCAACATAACATTAAAAAACAGTATACGAAATTACGAAAGAAACGTCCATCTCTAAAATTAGAAAAGAAACACTGAGCAAGTTGAAACAGTGTTAAACAAATCCACCAACAATAGTTGGAACTTTGGACAAACATTGAGCAAGTCGAAGAACGATGTGGAATCTTAGAAGTGATTTTTGACAAATATTTTATTGGCATACACTCTAACCCATGCTTATTTGATTCAGATTTTTGTATCCGACTTCATTATTGGTTAAGAGGTTAATGTATAATCGTGATCCATGTGAGTTTCTTTCAAACCTTTAAAATGAAATGCATACTGTATGATGTGTTTTCCCTTTAAAAATCATTGTGTTATATGGCATGAGTATATAAGATGAAGTGAATCATTATCATTGCATTTGGCTGGTTTAACCGACACATAAGTACAAAGTGGTGTATATGATGACGTGGGGTGTGTGATGGAGCGGTGTAGGGTATGTGACAGTGTGATATGTGAAAAAGGGGCAGTGTATATATTTGAGGCATTGCATCAATCGGGCCAACGATGTTACCAAGGATGTCAATTTAATACAACAAACTTATACGTAGTTGATTTATATCCATGAAAGCTATTATTTGTTAACTATTTTTGAAAGACCGAAACCTATTGGCTTTATACAGTGTTGTACTAACATGGATTTCTTCACTAGACCTATTGGCCTAACCCTCATTTTGTTTATAAAAATGTGCATTTCAGGACAGTCACATCCGGAAGATAAAGGGAAGGGAAAGACGTAATACTTGGCGATTGAAATGTTTACTTGATGATTTTATGCGAGACTGAGTTTTTGTATGAGGTTTGCTTATTACAGGATGTCAAGGAAATTTGTCTACAAGTTTTTATAAGCAAAAAGTTTGTAGCGGTTTCTATCGGTTTAACCGTGGTGTAACTTTGGACCACATTCAACAAATTTATAGTTTAGGGGTTGTTTGTTTACCTTTTAACAGTTCCATTAAAAGACAATAGCTGAATCTAAAAGAGGTGAATCTTGTTTGGCAAAAAAAAGTCTGCATCTTAATGGTTCTAAAACCCTCTGAATGATTTTGTATGATGTATCTCCCTTAACCATTAAGAGCCCTAATTTCATTGTACACAATTACCAAACATTTATATTTCATTCTGCACTATATCATAAGAGTCACTTAATCATTCTGATCACTTAATCATTATACACCAAATCTTTCAACAATTACCAAACAACCCCTTGTTCTATATAAAATATAAATATTACTTGACCCGCTCAATAGGATTCCGGGTCAAGATTTGCAATACCCAGGCCCAATTAGGGTTTCAATTCCATCATAAGATCAGCTGGATAACTCGGCCGCTGCTTTCCTCTCGAACTTCATCGGCACTGCCACTTCCTACTCTTAGGGTTCTTTTCGAAGGTAAGGATCTTCCGTGGTCTCTCAATCTCATTCTTCTGGTTTTTGCATCTGATTATTCGTTCATCGTTTCATTGGATGTGTGTGCTTCATTTCTCTTTACATTTAGAGCTTATGATGGTTTGGAAAAGTGATGGATTGTAATGTTTCGTCGTTTTTTCGCAGTTTATTTTGCTTGTGTTCGTTATATGCATCGAATTCGATGTATGTATGTTTATGTCTAGTCTATTATTCAGGATGAATCTGATAGTTTGTACTTTTTGTTACGTCTATGCAGAAGTGAAGTTTAAGGAAGGAAAACCTAACAGCCATGAGGTATGTGTATAGATTCAGCCATCGGAGTCTCTTTATCTTTTTCAATATTATTCCGATGTTTATGCTTCTGATGTTGTCTGCTAAGCTTTGTGTGATTAATCCTTAGTTTTTTTATAATCGGTTGGTTTCTTTTGTTTAAGAAAGATTTTGATAGGAAAATTGTTTGTTTTATGAACTTTGTAATGGAATAATGCATGAAGGCATGTAAATCCTGCTTAGTAATTTTTTTCTTTGTTCCAGCCATAGGTGTTTTCCAATGTTGCCTTCAAACTTTCATGATACTTTCTTTTTATAGCTCTATGCTATATGAATCTTGCGTAATCTGATTTAATTTTTCATAGAATGCTTTTCAAACACAAGATTGGTGTTGTCTTATCTTGATTTCAGAAGGCCTTTTTGCTTTATAGTTCAATTGGTTTGTTTCTACAAGCGTTTACTGCTGTCGATGTATTAGATATTTCAGCTGGTTCCTGTACTAGCTTTATTGATATTTGGATGATTGATATGGCAGTAAGCTTCAGAGTGAAGCTCTCCGAGAAGCCATTACCCAGATTACTACCGATGCTAAGGAAAAGAAGCGGAATTTTACTGAGACTATTGAGCTCCAGATTGGGCTCAAGAACTACGACCCACAAAAGGATAAGCGTTTCAGTGGTACCGTGAAGTTGCCTCACATTCCTCGTCCGAAATTGAAAGTTTGCATGCTTGGAGATGCCCAGCATGTGGAAGAGGTAAGTTCATTTTTTGAACATTCCATATCACTTGGTCTTATCTTGCATTTATACATGGCAACATGGGCATGGTTTATGGCTTACCATCCACTATTCTCTTATGTCCCAAGATTGCTTTGTTTATATATGTAATTATAAGCTGTAATATGTTTCTCGAATTTAATTTGAACAGGTTACATAAGTTTGGTATTTTTCAGTTTAAATTATCATGTCTTCAGATGTATCTTCTTCCCATAATGAAATAATTATGTTATAGACTTGATAGTTTTTCTTTGCAGAGTTCCAATACAAACCAACATATGACTTGTTGAAACACATTTTGATTACATTATCATAAAACGATACTGGGTCCCAAATATTAGTGTTTCCTGAGATTTGGAGAAGTTTTGCAGTCTTATGCTGGTTAACGGCTAACCTTATATAATATGAATGTTCCATTAACGTGTGTTTTTTTAATTTTTATAGGCTCAAAAGATAGGCCTTGAATATATGGATGTGGAAGGGCTCAAGAAGCTCAACAAGAACAAGAAGCTGGTGAAGAAGCTTGCTAAGAAGCACCAGGCTTTTTTGGCTTCTGAATCTGTGATCAAGCAGATCCCTCGTTTGTTGGGCCCTGGTCTAAACAAGGCAGGTGGGTGTATCTTTTAAATCTAAATCTATCTTATTTAATTAGAGTATTTCAAGTCCTTACTATCAATATTCTTATTGTATGTGTTAAAGAGCCCCACATTGGCCTTAGAATTGGACACTTCCTCTTGTTGTAGCCCCCATCTCTTTTCAAGGGCTGTATTTCAGAGAGTAACCTAATGGGGTTCCTCACATTTTGACAGTATGTTGCATGTAATTATGGTTTGATTTTTTCTATGCAGGAAAATTCCCTACGCTTGTTACTCACCAGGAATCCCTCGAGGCTAAGGTGAACGAGACCAAGGCAACTGTGAAGTTTCAACTGAAAAAGGTGCTGTGCATGGGAGTTGCTGTTGGAAACTGCAGCATGGAGGATAAGCAGATTTTCCAGAACGTGCAAATGAGCGTCAATTTCCTTGTTTCGTTACTGAAGAAGAATTGGCAAAATGTGAGTCATCTTTTCCTATTCGATTGTTTTAGCAACCGTCAATATATGGGGATCTAATGTTCAAAGAATTCACTTTAACCGCATAAATTTCCACAAGCTGCTCTACTCTTTGGTATAGAGATCAGGTCCACACACATCTCCCCCCATATATCCTACTCTCGAGGGGTGGTCCATTTGGGTTTGAACTGTGAATAAAAGCAACAAAAAGATAACCGTTGCTTCTATTTTTTATAATGATGATTGTAATGATGTTATTTTGTATGGAAATCTACAGGTGAGGTGTTTGTACTTGAAGACGACAATGGGAAAGCCAGTTCGCATCTTTTAGGTGTTTTCTTTGTTTTTATCAGAGTTGTTCGGTTTGAGGTCGGTACTTGGAAGCATTTGCCTTTAATGGGTGCTTATCGTTTTTGACTTGTCGAATGTTGGGTTTTTATTACTGTATTAGATGCTGCTTTCGCCATGGACGATCATTACTTCTTCTAAAATCCACCCCTCGATTTTATACCCAAAGTAAATGCTCATTGCAAAACGAATCTAATAGTTTGAGTTGGGCATGGACCAGTTCAGCTACAAATAGTGTGGACCGATTGCGGATGGTCTTTCCGGTCTGATGACGTCGGTCACGGTCCGGGTTTCATACCGGTCCAAATTTCTACTTACAATTCTGCACTACCAATGCCTGTTGTCTTTTGTTGATATCGTGTTTTTATCGAAAACTTTGAACAGAAATTTCAAAATTCAGGAAAACAACATAATAATTATTTACGTAAACCAATATTCTTACTGCATAATTGGTGAAATTACTCGATCACGAAGGATTTTTAAGCATTCCATTTTGTTACTCGATGTTGCAAATATGTATTTGTGTAAAGACGGGTTCACGATGTTGTCTATTATGAATATTAAGACGTTTACTAAAAGCTTATTCAGTAATCACTTGTATTATTGAATTAACATGACTAATAGTATGAATTTTAACCAGTAAAAGCGATAACAAGGATCGAGATTTTAACCTGGTAAGTGAGAGTGACTGTTTTTACATGGTGAATGCTTATCGGATAAACATGTTTCATAAGATGTCGTTTTAATGGAGTAAAATCTTACCCGGTAAGTTAAATATAAGTGTCAACTCTTACCGATAAGCGCCGATAAATAGCCCCTTATGAAAGGGAAGTTCTTATGTGCCTATACATATACATGTTTCATTGTTTTATACTGTAATCTAATAACAAAATGTGATTCTTATCTTATTATATATTACGTTAATTATTTTATGCAATTATTGTAAAAAAAAAAAAAAAAGTTAAGCCCAATTACTTAGGGGGTGTCTGGTTCATGCAGATGAATGAAAACGAAAATGAAAATAAGAATAAATTTTCATTCCCCTAATTTAACCTGAAATGAAAATTTAGGCTTATGAAAGAATAATCTCATTATATTATATAAAACCAAACAGTTTCTTTTATTTTCATTTTTATTAATTACTGCTTAATACTTCTGACCAAACGCCTTCTTCTATTCATTAAAATCAACATTGAAATCATTTCTTGTTTTTCTTGAAAAATAATGGGGTTTCTTCAATAATTAAAAAAAATATCAATAATTTATAATATTGTATTTTTATTTTTTTGATAATAAATGCATAATAAAGTTGTTGAATAGAGGAAACTGGTTATAGCCATTAGTCATGGGTAAGAGCCACCCAATCATTCATTTATAGAGGTGAGTCCCTTTTAAGCTCTCATATTATTAGGCTTTTGGTCTACCGAAAAGACCAACCATGCCATAGCTATTTGACCTCTAATTCAAATGCTTACTTTTGATACAAGAGATATTTCAATAACAATTGGTTTTGGATCTGTATTTGGTCAAAAAAGTTGATTACCAGCAAATTTAATCGGCTCCACAAGGAACACAATAATGTGGAGAGAGCATTTTTTTGGTTTATTCAACGGCTGAGGCTAGCGAGAGAGAGAGAGAGGGAGTCAAACCCGTGACATGTCTTGTATTTGAGCAAACTCATCCATTTTTTTGTCAATTGAGTTAGACGCCAAACGCAGAGGCAGTCTTGTAGAGTTTTATTGTAAATCGATGATGATAAATCTTGAATATTTAACTTGTTTTTCTACATTTTATAAAAAGAAAAGAAAATATAAAATCAAATATATAAATGCATTTGATGGAGACATTTTAAAACCAAAGTTTTTGACTTCTTTTACAAGCATCATCTTATGAGGCTCTCTCTAAATATATGGAAAATGTTTTAAGCCAAATATTCTCATTAAATCATAACTCTAAGGGTCTGTTTGATCTAGGAGTTGTTTGTTTACTTCTTAATAGTTTTATTAAGAGATAATCTATGAATTATTAAAAGTTGAATCTTATTTGACAAAAAAAAATATGTTTCTTAATGGTACTAAAATTCTCTGAATGATTTTGTATCATGAGTCTTTCTTAACCATTCAACACGCTAATTTCATTGTAAACAATTACCAAACAATTATATTTCAGTTTGCACTATATCATGAGAGTCTCTTAATCATTCTGACCACTTAATCATTACATATCAAATCATTCAGCAACTGCCAAACAACGTCTCAGGCTAAGAAATGAAAATGGGAATGAAAAAAGGAATTAATTTTCATTCCCTTCAGTTTAACCAAGAATGAAATTTTAGAATTCTAAGGGAATAAGCCCATTATATTATAGGAAACCAAACAGTTTTTTTTTTTTCATTCATATTGATTACTGTTTAATACATATAACTAAACATGCCCCAAGTACATTTGAACTTTATGTTCTATATAAGTTGTACTCTTGAAATTAGTTTTTTAAAACTTTAACTAAGAGCATCTCCAACATCAGAATGGAGATTCTGAAGATTTTGGTTTTAACGGATTTTTTAAAACCTTATCTAAAATGGAGAAAAGTAGGAGAGAGACTGAAACTCTCCAAATATAAATACCTATCTAAAAATAATTATTTAGGAAAGAAAAATTATTTTTTCTTATTGATGAAAAATCTTGAAATTAAATGTTTAAAATCAAGAAATAATATTTTATTAATCGTATTGAATATTTTAATAATATAATAAGATCATCTCCAATAGAATCTCCAAATTTTCTCTCAAAAATTAAAATCTCCAAAAAGTATTACTTTCATCTCCAACAGATTTTTCATTTTAGGTATTATGACATTAATCATGTTATTAAAATATTCAATACATTTAATAAAATATTATTTTCCTTTCTTGGACATCTAATTTCAAATACTTTTATTGGTGGGAGTATAAACTATTATTTCTCACTCATAAATAATCATTTTTAGAAAAAAAATTCATATACGGAGAATTTTCTCTCTCTCTCTCTCTGTGTGTCTGTGTGTGTGTGTGTGTGTGTGTGTGTGAGAAGGTTTTGGAGAATCTCTTGAAGCACAAAAATTCTTAAAATCTCAATTTTAAGGAAGCTGTTGCAGATGACTTAATTAATACTGTAATCTTGAAAACGGGTAGGTTGTTAGAGGTGAAAGTAATTTTTCTTCAGAAATTTTTATTTTTAATTCTCTATTTTAAAATATCTGTTGAAGATGCTCTAAATAATTAATAAATAGTATAATGCAAAAATATAATTTATACTTAAAAAACATTTCAAAAATATGCCTAAAATTGCATATTTGAGCAACTAAATTAACTTTGAAAGATTAATGCTCTATTACTCTATAATCGGTATATTTATTTTGAAATCTGTTTAATGTTATTATAATTCTGATTATAATAAATAAAATGACGTTGTTTGTTTTGAATGTTAAAGAAACGGTTTATCTATAAAGTTTTTTATCTGTTAATTTAAAATCAGTACAAACAAGATATACAGATTATATTTCATTCAAAAACTGAGAGATGAACATTATTTTTTTTATAAAACTCCATCCCATCAGCTCATTTAATTTAAATAATTATCATATAGTAAAAAATTACTTTGTATGAGTTTAATGATAATCACAAGTTTCTTGTGTAAAATAACTGAATGTAATATTATTAACGACTAATTTATTATACATACACATGTATATATGTATGAAGGGGTTGGCTTTCGGTGAAAAAATGAATTAAAGTGAGAAGCATAAGAAAAGATCTCAACATTAGATACACGTTACGATGAGATGTATTGGGATGAACTGGATCAATCTCTGTATCAAGCGCAATTTATAGGTGGATTTGAGATTAAAGATGATTAAATTTTTGTGTATGTATATATATATATATATATATATAAATATATATGGGGTTAGTCAAATGAGAACTGTTTTGTTTGTGGTAATTGTGAGATCAAATTTCAACCACAAATCAAATGTTAAATTAAGAAGTTAATAATTTTTGTAATTTTAACTTAAAATATTAACTAAGGGCATTTGAGAGATTTTATTAACCAACGAATCTTATTTGACGAATCTTATTCCAATGAACCTTACGTGAACACAAGATACACATTGTGATATCTACAAACGATATTCACTGTGATACCCAGATATACATACAAAATGCATAAGGTGATATCCTTTGTAAAATAATGAAAATAACGAAAATGCACACTTTGATACATTTCATAAAACAAAGAAAAAACATTGTGATACACATGAAACCTTGTGAAAGTTATCACTATGATACATTTTAATTCACAAACGTTTTTAAAATACAATGTATATTAGGTAATTGATATATTAGGTAACTAGTTTTAATAAAATATTTTCCTCTAAAAAATTTAATTAAATATTTTGATTATTTGTTAAAAATAAAAATAAAATTACTATATTACTTTTTTAGCTTATTTAAAAAATATCTTTGAATATTTTAAACAAGCGCTTCACATTTGATTTCACGTTTACTACAAACTAATCAATTTTTTCTTGAGTGAGCCCCTAATCCCTATATCTATACTATATTATAAAGCATTTGACAAAAACTCTTAAAAACCATTTTTTATACATAAAGTAGTGCATATTGATGCATATTACTTAAAAATTTAAGATTACAAGTAATTATGCATAAGTACAACTTATTAAAGCTCCATGTTTAAATTCGTATAACTAACTGCAGATAAACATAATCAAATAAAAGATAAACATTTTTTTAAATGTAAAAAATCAAAAATATACTTAGGATAATTATCGAGTTCTAACAAAATAATTAATTATTATTTTTAATATTATATTATTAAACCAAATATAAATTACTTCGTTATTGAACATAAATTAAATTATAATAAAAAAAAACTGAATTAAAAAATTATACAAAAAATAGAAAATTTAAATAATTAATTTGATACTAATATCGATATATTTTTGTCAAATTTTTATAATATCTTCAAATTTATATTTTATTCAAAAATAAAAACATCATCGTTTTTTTAAAATCACATAAGACCATACTATAATATCTATGAAGATAAAAAATAAAATAAAATATTAAAATTAAGATATATCTTGTTATATTGTACGAATACCTTTTTAATATATTAAAAATAGGGAGGGGTTTAATGGAGAATCCTTCAAAAGATTAAAAAAATGTTAATAACCATTTATGTTTACAAAATATATTTATGTATAATGAATTAGGAAAATGGAAAAATAAAAAAACGAGTCAAATCAGAAAAATGGATCACCAGCCGCCTTCCAAACATTTCGAATAAAAAAGGTTAATTACTGAATTGGTCCATGAAATTTCTATTTTAACACTTTTAGTCCCTTAACATTATTTATTGTATATTTGTTTATAACGTTTGCAAAATCTTTGATTTTAGTCCTTCCATCTAATGCAAGAGGCATTTTAATCATTTTCAAAATTTGTTGTTGATTAACCTGAATATCCAATCCGCTACATAAGCCGATTAATTGCAGAGTGACCATCCATTTCACGGATATTCCGAAGTCACCGCATTTGTACCTCCGTAGCCACAATAAGATTTTTATTATTCCTTAAATTCGAACCTGAAACTTTCAAGCATTTTTGATCTTTGGAGCCCAAACTCAAACCAAATGAAACACCACCCCTTGTGGTTTTCAATTTTCTTTATACAATATATATTTTTTTTAATGTATTTGAATATAGAACGTAAAAATTGACTTAAACATCCCTCATTTAACAACCAAAATTAATAATTGTTAGACGAATGGAAGTAATCTTTGGGCTTTTTACGGTTGTCAGTAACGGGTTATTTGACAGTTGCTGAATGGTTTGGTGTAGATAAATTAAGTAGCCAAAATGATGAAGAGATTCACATGATATAGTGCAAAATGAAATATAATTGTGTGATAATTATTTACAACGAAATTAAGGTGCTGAATGGTTAATGGATGCCCATGATACAAAATTATTCAGAGGGTTTTTAGAACCATTAAGAGACATATTTTTTTGTTAAACAAGATTCATCTCTTAATGATTCAGAAGTGAACTCTTAATATATTTATTAAGAGGTAAACAAACAACCCCTTAACAAAATCGTGTAGATACAATTGAGAGATGAGAACTGTTAGAACGTACAAACGTCAGGGGCGAGATTTGTAACCTACTTTTATTATAACAATATAAGTTTTTATAATCATAATCAACACATTTGCGTTATTTAGAATAAGGACAACAAAAGTTGGTACGCCAATTCCCAATTCAATTGGACAGTTTTGAATGGTACGAAAAAGTTGATCGTTTTGGCCAATTACCGAACCTACTCAACTAGTTTAATTTGACAGGCCTATTATTCTTTCAACGTCTTCAATAATCTCTTTATGATTTTTTAATATAGAAAAAATAAAATTCAAAATCTAAAAAAAAGGATTACATTCGATCTAAATACATTTAGTACCCCATCAAAACGTTCAATTTTTTTTTATAAAATGATTATTTTCAACTAAGGGGTTGTTTGGCAGTTGCTAAATGATTTGGTGTAAAATGATTAAGTGGTCAGAATGATTAAGAGAATTTCACGATACAATACAAAATGAAATATAATTGTTTGGTAATACACAACAAATCAAATGTCAAGTGTAGCTAATCACATGTGATTCAGAACATGGATCCAAAAATAGATTAAAAAAATTGTGAATTATATTACTTCTCGTCCTCTCACAAATTAACCGTTTTTCGTTTGCATCCCTGATACAGTAATATCAATATAAACTTAAATTCTAATAAAATTTCAAAAAAATTGATTTGTAGCAAAAATGCATTTTTGAGGGACTAAACATGTCAAATTGTATAAGTGGTGATTTTGTCATTGCAGTTAGGGTATCATTTCCTCCAACACACTTCTCGTCCCTCTGTAGATGCCAAACGCCACCTTCCAACTCCTCCCTCTATAAATTAAACCCTCAATTCCTCCGTCCAACTCCATTTCCGTTTCCAGTTCTCGCCAACATCTCCTCTTGTAAGTATACTTTTTCCACCCATCTTCGTGCTTGGTGTTGCGGCTTTCTGTATTGTGTGTTTCCGTTCGTTTTTTGTGTAGTTTTCGAGGTGTTGTTGGTGATTGATTTATCGGATTATGTGTGTTTTTTGAATTTTTACATGGAATTGTGTATGGATTTGATCTGGCGAAGTTGAAATCGTTATCGAATTGGCTTCTTGTGTGTTCCTTTTGTTAGATCTGTTTCATGGAGGCACCTTTTCGAATCATGAGTAATCGGGATTTGTTCGCCTTGGAAAGAGGTTTTGGTGCGATTAAAACTTACATGCATGAGATCAATTGTGAAAATCTTCGTAGGATTGCGGAATTCACATAGTAAAACACAGATGTTGGTTTAGATGCAGCATTTATTTTGAATGTGTTCTGTTATCTATTATCAGCGACGAACTCTTTGTCAATTTAGTGTTGGACTCTGTCAATTTGTGATTTACCTTTTGAATGAGCCTGCCCCTTTCTGTAATGCTCCTCTTGTTTTTAATTCAAAGGAGTTTTTTTTTCCTTCAACATTTGTTGCTTATTAGCCATTATATTTGCTAAAACACAAAAAAATGCTCAAGTGCTGTAATGAGCTGTCCTGACCATTGTATTTGTAGGTTCATGGCAACAATAACCATTAACACTTGTCTAAAACTGCTCTCTTGCATACTTTAACGTTCTTTCTTCATTTTAACAAATATAATGGATTCCAACCAAACTAGGCCATTCAGTCCTTTCAATTGTGCGATTTACACAATATATATATATATATATATATATATATATATATATATATATATATATATATATATACACACAACTACATAATGGGTTTAGAGCTTCTTTAATCCTTTTCCTCTTTAAACACTTCTTCACAAGTTAGAGGTCTTTTTTTAAAGCATATAATATTTATATACGGCAAATGAACTCACACACCCTCTTCACCTTTGGTGAGGTTTGAAACCCAGCCTCCTGGGAGGCTTGGTTCTAGCGGTAGCTCGAATACCACTAGGGCAAAGGCCCTTTGATAAGTCGGAGGCCTTCATGGAAGGATCCTATCCTTCGGTCAGGTCTAGGTACATTCCTCCCCAACCCTACTTAAAGATGGGATTCTTTTCTTCTGCTTGATTGTATTTTTTTTGGTGAAGGGGTGGAACCGAATGTAAACTTCTCCCTGATCGCCTTAAGGTCATCATATGTTGCCTTTCTTTTCTGTGTGAGTTGTTCTCTATGATGTCAACTGGTTTCCCTCTACCTCTATACGAAGTAATTTAGTGCAGCCATGTATGTTTGTTTCTTTACTTTATGGTTACAAAGGTTGCTTCTAATAATGTGAGCCTCAAATGTAGTCGGTGGTTTATGATGTTGAGGTTGTTGACCCTTTCATTTTTTAAACATGTTCCTTTAACTGTAAAGAAAAGACATGTCGTCACATAATGTTACTATCCTTGATATTCAAGTGGGAAACTTGGACTTGAACAAATTTTCTTTTTGGTTTGATGCACAATAGTACTGTATTTCATCATTTCTTTGGTGCATGGTAGTTATTTGTCACTGAGACTAGTACTCTCTTGATACTATGAGGAATCCTCTTTAGTCGGTATGAATTGATCACCTTTAACAATAAAAGAAATGCACTTGCTATTGATCTAATCCAAGAGGACTGTATGGTTCACCCAAATGGTGCTAAAGAGTTAAATATAGATATACCTTGGTGCCACGGGAAACTGCTTGCAGATTTTGCCTTGATGGGCATATGAGTGATGACTGAGAGTTTTTCTGCTTTTGTTGAACTTCAGATTGTAGTGTCTAAGGGTGTTACACATGTGGGACAGAACAAAACAAAAACTTGTCTCACATTCGGTGCGATATTCGAATTGGACATCACGAGACAAGTTGGAGAAAAATGCATTTAGAAGAACATGTTTTATCAAATGCACCCAAGAGAACATGTTTTATCATCTTATCTCATTTAAAAGAACCATAAGTTGCTTGGTCTCAATATCAATATCCTCTTTAATCTATTCCGATTTCCCTTTCTCTGTGTTCAGGTCATCATGTCGTCCATCAGACTGCCTACCCAAAGCATGGTCAGAAGCTCACCCCAAAACCTCAGCCGTCCTAGTGCTTTCCTAAAGCGCCCATTTACTCTTCCAACAGTGAAGAGTGTCTCAAAAGCCTTCGGCTTGAAATCCGGCTCTTCCTTCAGGGTAACGGCCATGGCGTCATACAAGGTTAAGCTTGTAGGACCAGATGGTGAAGAGTGTGAATTCGATGCACCTGATGATTGTTACATTCTGGATTCAGCCGAGAGCGCTGGAATTGAGCTGCCATATTCTTGCAGGGCTGGTGCATGCTCAACATGTGCCGGTAAGATGGTTACTGGTGCGGTCGACCAATCTGATGGATCTTTTCTTGATGACAACCAAATGAAGGAGGGTTACTTGCTGACTTGCATTTCTTACCCGACTTCCGATTGCGTGATTCACACCCACAAAGAAGGCGATCTTTACTGAGTCTGGTATGTTTTCAACTTTTGTGAGTCTTTGTCGATCTAAATTTCAAATGATTTGGTAGGTTTTGGAACTTCGTTGTTTTCTAGAATGAAACCTGTTTTCAGTTGCAGAATGCTAGTTTTTTCTTGGTTGCAATAAGTATTTCAAATCCTGTGACTGTTTTTGATATTGAGGTAAAGAGATTAAGAACATGCTTCAATTTCACAAATGGCTGATAAACTCAATATACTTGAGGAGACTTGAATTTGCAACCCTAAGGGGGCTTTTGGTTGGTTCGCATGATGTTTTCCGAAGGAATAAAATTTGTCAAAAAAATTGGAATCTGAAAGAAATTGGAATGAAATGTTAACAGCGTTTGGTTGACATGAAATTGAATGTAATTTCTCAAATATATTGGAATCTCTTTGTTTGGCTTACAAAGGAATTGGAAAGAAATGATGAAAAATGACCAAAATATCCTTCCTTGAATTTGTATTTTTTTTATATCAGCTAGTTTTTATTAAATATGATTAACTAACTAGTTTTTCAGCCCAGCCCACTTTTTTCAAGGACCTGGTTAAAATTTGGCATGAAAAGCCCGATCAGGCCCAACCACATCATGGGCTTCAACGGTTGTTAATGAAAACGTTGCATTTTTAAGAATGAAAACAGGCCCAACTACATTATGGGCTTCGACTGTATTGATTTGATCGTAAAAATAGATCCAGTCCAGAGTTCCAACGTTTGTTGCCATTGTTGGATCTCAGGCTACCTTGTTAGTCTCGGATGCCGAACGAGCCAAAAAATGCCATTTCACATTGATGTTTCTGGAGAAGGGTTTCGTGAGCGGTCGGTTAAGGTTAAGGTTGTTGGTTGTCAACTTTTGTACATTGACATGGTAGGCTCATTTGTTTTTTTCTTTCTTCTATTAATATCAGTTTGAAATACAAGAGTTTAACGTAAACGTCTAGTTTTCTATCGTTGTTTTAAAACGAAACTACAAACAAACAAATATTGCTTAATAATGGAGCAATAAATCTATTATTATGCTAATTAAGCAAAAAATGAACATACCATTTGAATTTTTTTTATTAAAATAATTAATTATGTAAATAAAAAGTCAAACCAATCATATACTTAATGGAATATGTTGTACATTAGCCATAACAATTATTCATTTCAACAACATCAACAATAATTCATAGGACACAAATATAAAAAAGTGTGATGGGTTGTTTAACCCTATTAATAAGATTCCAATCACTAAGGGCCTTTGGCCTAACGATATCGTAGTTTTTGGCTTCTTAAAATGGTAGAAGTTCATACCTCATCAAATGTGAGGAGGGGGTGTGAGTTTATTTATTGCATTTGTCGTATATAAATATTATTATATGTAAAAAAAAAAAAAAGATTCCAATCAAAATTGATTATAAAAATTAAAACATATTTACGATATACACGACAAAGGCAATTTTCTAACATTTTGTGTTGAATTCTTTTAATTATGTAAATAATAAACGTGCTAAAAGCACGATTATAATTTTTTTAAATAAAATTTCATTCAATTTCAACCCTGTTCAACATGTTTCTTTTACATATCTTATTTATTAAATTATAAAATATCCAACTAATCGCTGTATTTAAGATAAATTAATTGAAATTACTGCATCTGGCAGTAATTACACCATTTTTCTCGCAAAGAACGTATTCAAACAACTGTATTATTATTTTAATAATATAGTTTTTATAGTCCTATTTGAAAATTTGTTATTTATACAGTAAAAAAACAAATTAAAAATGTATGTGGTTAATATGACACGTTTCAAGTTTTGATCAACAAGTAAAAAAATTGTTTTCATTTGAACTGATTTTAATCAGTCCATTTTGCCATCTCTAGTAGCAATATGCTCGAAGTATATGGACTCTGTAGAACGAAAGTCAAACACTGTATTGCAGGAAGAAAAATCAGTAAAACATGAAATATATTTGTCCAAAACTAGTATTTTAAGCATATTGTAAATATTAGTAACTGCTAAAGAAAATGTAGTATTTATTTTGACATCATATATTTTTATTACATTTGCTTGAAAACAAAATGACGTAAAAACTTAAGAGCCATAATATATATATATATATATATATATGATTGTATGATTGTCGGACACTCCCTTTCTCTATGTGTTGACACATATCTCTTTCAATCAACACGTGTCATCGGTGTTGTTTTCAATCTGCAAGTGTCTTGGTTATTGCCGCCCTAGTTTTGTCGTTACTCCAAACGTAAGAATATGTCAGTACCATACGTCGTTAAGAGACAATCAACATCATCAAAACTAATTATGATAACAATAAACTGTAGAAATGCATCCAAATATCATTTCCTATACCATGTTTTTATTATAGTTGATTAGCTGGTTTTGATGATTCAGTATAAGATAATCTTTGTCGAAGTCTACACCTACAACCTCATACATTTACAATCGTGCAAATCTTTTTGTTTAAATATAAAATATTGAAAATAATATATATATATATATATATATATATTGAAAATCATGATTGTCTTGTATACTACCAGACTAGAAGCATTATGACCATATATTGTTTTGGTGGTTATGATGAGTTACGTTTTCAACAATGTATATATATGTGTGTACACACACACATATATATATATATATATAGAGAGAGAGACAGAGAGAGAGAGAGATGGAGATGTTATAAACCATACAACCAATCTCAACCAATATATGGTTTCATAAATATGTCGATTGTTTATTCATACAAAGTGTTGGTCATAATAAATGAAATCTAATTATCTTCCATAAATATATTAAAATCATAATATTTGAAAATTCATCATTTTCATAAATATGTTAATTGGTTGATTTGTAAGGTTCGTAATATTTCCATGGTTTATACGTGAGGGTTGGGTTGTGATGAGAAGATAATTTATAGTGATAAGTGTAAGAAGAGATTTTCACCCATGGATAATCCTAATTGAATTTCAACACCAATGAGGTGCCTCGAGATGCACCAGATCAATTTCCTTATAAAGCGCAATTCATGGGTGGACATGAGATTAAAAGTGATCAAGGGTTCAAATCTATTCTTACACTTCTCATTATAGCTTCCCTTCTTACATGATCTTTCGCCTTATATGTGAACGAGATTATACATATAGGCGAATGATCATGTGAGAAAGAGAGTTAATGTGAGAATCGTAAAAAGGGGATCTAAATCTTTGATAACCTTTAATCTCAAACCCACATATGAATTGTGCTTGATAGGCAAATTGATCTGGTGCATCTCGTTGCTTCTCATCCTAATGTGCATCTAAGGGTGTAGATCATTTCTTACACTTCTCACTTTAAATCTCTTTCTCACCGAAACCCAACCCTATATATATATATATATATATATATATATATATATATATATATATATATATATATATATATATATATATATATATATATATATGGACGAAAGATCGTGTGAGAAGAGAAATTATGGTGAGAAACGTAAGAAGAGGTTTGAATCCTTGATTATTTTTAATCTCATGCCCACCCATGAATTATGCTTTAGAAGATAACTGATTCGGTGTATCTCAATGCACCTCATTACTGTTGACATTCAATTAGGGTTGATACAAGGGTGGATATCTTTTCTTACGATTCTCATCGGAACACAACCCTATACAGGAAGAGGTTCATTTGAGAAATGCTAAGTGTATGAAAAGTAGAGAAGTGATCCTAGCCCTTGGATCAAATGATCAAATTTTTATAAAAGAACGGTAATATGGTAAATAGCAAAAAGCGATGGTGATATATGAATTCATCGTCATCGATAGCAACAAGAGTCTTGTCGACGATGTATGATCTCGATCCCATTAACAATCCTAACAAATCAAATTCGGTTTATGGCAATTCCATCATCGATTTTTCTTCTCGATCATATACCGCAATTCCAAGTTATCAAAATTATCAAGTTTCTTATTTCTTTCTCGATCAGATCTTGTATTTTTCCAATATGAATCTGAATCCAGAAAATTATTTTGATCAAAATGTTGATTTTAATCCTAAAACTATAATGTTAAATGTGAATCTAAGATTAATCTATGAATCAATTAAATAATATTTCATATGTGAATAATTCAGGTTCATATGTGAATCTGTTAAGTAGTAAATATGTGAATAAGTTAAATAGTTTATATATGTATCACACGGGTTCACATAGCAACAAATAATTCATATGTAAATCTGTATGTGAATCACATGGATTCACATGTTAGCATATATGTCATATGTGAATTGATTAAATAGTTCTTACGTGAACGAGTTAAATAGTTCATATGTGAATCATACGTGTTCACATATGCACATATAATTCATATACAAATTATAGGGATTCACATATACATTTGTTTGCTGCATATTTGTAAAAGTTACGAAGCCACCCATTTATCTTCAGCATAGTTGTTACCATATAACCGAATTATCCAGTGTTGCACAATCAACCCCTCAAATCTTAAACGTTATTTTTCTAATGGAAGATCCTAGTTAGGATCACTTTTACGCTTCTCGTACATTCAACACTTCTCAAATGAACTTATTGCTAAGGATCGTGTGGGAAAGAGAGTTAAAGTGAGAAGCCTAAGAAGGGATTTGTATCATTGATCACCCTTAATCTCAAACCTTCCCATGAATCACACTTGATATGAGAATTGATATGTTCATCTCATCCTAATGTGCATCTAAGGGTGAATATCCCTATTTATCCTTGTCACCTTAACTCTCATTTTCATCGAAACCCAACTATATTATGTATATATGGTTGGGTTCGCTTGAGACCCATGAGACCACATTTTTACACTTGAAATTTCATAGCAAAACATTATGAATGTAAAAAATCCGAACATTCACAGCAAAAACACTATGAAGGCCAGATTCATTATTTTTACTGTGAAGTCTCAGATGTAAAAAATAAAACAAACTACTCTAAAATGAAACTAAGAGGCTGTTTACCGAACGTTTATTCGAGTAAACGCTTATCTAGTCACGTTATCTCACCGGATGAATACGGTAAGGATCAAGAATTATACCCGGTAAAAACGAGACAAGAACCAAGAGTCTTACCCGGTAAGTGAGGGTGACGACTCTTACCACGATAAACGCTTACCGGGTAAATTGTTACATACGTTGTCGTTTTGGTGTACTAAAAT